CACACACACACACACACACACACACACACACACACACACACACACACGCATGCAAATACACTGACGCACATGGAAACACACAGATATGTTTACAGAAATTATGCATGAGGCATGAAACTACGTTTTTTCAGAGTGGCCATGTGCATGATGAGCCAGAGACGAAGAGAAAAATGGAGAGAAATAGAGAGAGAATTGACAAAGAAAAGGACATCTACCTCTGGACTTGTACTACAAAATCTCAATTCTATTCAGCCTTTAATGTCAATGTCAAGTAGCAGATTACCTTGCCAACATTGGCCACCAGAAACACAAATAAACTTAATGGCCACAACTTGAGTGACTGGTGGACAACGACAAACCTGGCAACCCTAATCAAAGTCACCAATGACCTCCTCCTGTCCTCTGATGACCACTTCCTCAACATCCTGATACAACTCAACCTCAGTGCAGCCTTTGACACCATCAACCACTCCATCCACATCACTGGCACAGCCCTCTCCTGGTTCGAATCATACCTCTCCGACCGTGAACGGTTCATTAGTATCAATAAATTCAAGTCTGACGCAGCCACAGTCTCTCAAGGTGTCCCCCAAGGTTCATTACTCGGTCCCCTCCTCTTCATCCTCTACTTGCTCCCCCTTGGCGACATCATATACGCCACCATGGTCTCCATTTCCAACGGCAGGGGACAACATATACATCTGTATTTTTAACTCACCTGCCACATTTATTACATCCCTTAAATCTACATTGTCCATATATAAAAAGGACCCCAAGCTTTTCCAAAGAATGTTTGTATCCCTTTTAATGATAAAAGTAATCTTTTCCGGAGTTGTGTCCATTCCTTGAACTCAAACGAACACATTTTTGGGACTAAAAGAAGATTATTGAAATGACAACGCTATATGAGCAACACCAGGAAGAGAGACAAAGTTGTCCAACAAAAGACATCAAGAAAATGAGAATAAGAAAAATGGGAAAGGGGTTGGACAGATGCTGCATACTGAGCCAGCAGATGGTAGAGTTGGAAGGAAAAAGGGAAACGAGGGAGAGAGAGAGAGAAGCGGAGTAAGAGAGCGAGTCATCCACATAGCCTAAAAAATGAGCAATAGAGGGAGGAGGTTGTTTTAAAAACTTAAGAAGCTGATGAGAAAGTACAATGAGAAACGCACTGAGCACAAACTAACACGCACAATCTTCAACACTCACTGAGTAGCAGATCACGGAGCAGTTGAACCAGAATTAATAATTTAAAGCAATGAGTGACATGGTTGCAGTCTCCCGATGTGCGTTTCACTTTGAGGCGCACACTCTCACACATTATGCACAGAAAGCCCAACTCCTCTCCCTCTCGTATGTGCATCTATGCACTGCATTCTAATTGCCTCCTTTACCAGCCAATTAAATGGCAGTATCTGTCACCATGACAGCTCATTAGTAAATCAGCATTCAGCTTTCCGGCAGTGTGTTTCCAGGCGTGTGTGTGTGTGTGTGTGTGTGTGTGTGTGTGTGTGTGGATGTGTTTGTGTGTTCTGTGGCCGTGTGCAGCAGTAATGCCTCCTAACTTTGCCCAGTGTGCAACAGCCGATCGGTGACCCGAGCATGTGTGGGCCTGTGTGTCTGGGAGTGATGCTGTTAGCAGGACATAGACAATGTTGTTTTCTGTCCTGTGATTGTGACTGTGCATGTGAGCTCTGATTCGTATAGCATTTTGTATCTGTAGTCACTTCTGAATCCGTTTTCATTTGTTTGGAGGAGAGTTGAGCTCCGCGTCTGGCAAAACATCGGCAGGCTACGCAGGTTTTGACACCCTGCCAGACAGGGAAGGTCCCAGCAGAGCATGCTGGGAGTAATGACTAACAACAATGGCGTTTTGCCTCGTAACCACAGGAGTTCAATTATTATCTCTACTGCCGCAACTCTGACTACTTTATATTTAAGTCCAACGGAGGTTAATTGTATTAATTAGATTTAGATTTAGATTTGACCAAGAATCCACCCTGAACTGATTTAAACCTTAGATTTTTAGCTTCAGTTTGCCATGGTCAGTCATTGGATGTTTCCTGTCAAAATGCTCCCTGGGAGTCGTAGTTGACTTCTCCACTCATGTTTTTATATACGCAAGCTTGTACTGCAAATGCCACTTTTTGGTTAAACAAAACAGATACTTCATTGTACAGTTGATGGACAAGTTTTGATGAGGAATCCATGAAATTGGAATAACCATCCAAGCCTTAGGAGTACTCCAACTGCTAGTCTCCTGCAGAAAATGAATGATTTTTTTCACTTGTAAAATTTTGTATGCCTAAAATAACTCTTCCCACTTCACCCACCTCTTGCAAAATGATGCTTGTCCTTGACTTGTAAGCTACAATTACTAGAGCAAGTTACATTGCATGTCCATGTCCCTGCCTGCACAGGGACAATTGTGTACACTAACCCGTCCACTCGGAGCCTAAAGAACAATGTCTGACCAGGTGTCCTGCTTTATGTGGGACTGCACGTCGGTTTTATCCCTTGTCCCGCGTACCACATATTGAGACGATGTCCCGCATTTTGATTGTCTCCAGTTTTCAAGTCAACCCACTGAAGGACAGATCGGTTTTCTAAAATCTGTCTTTCATTCAATGGCTGTGAAGAAAGCAGGGAAGGCTGTCATATGGGGGCTGTGTTTTATGTCAATCAAACCGTGCATACGTGGGTCAGGTTAAGGTTAACCTGTCACCGTCTTTGATATGCTACGCCCAACGGGGAACATTGTGAGTCACCGCAAAGTCACAAACAACGCAGGTTTAGGCGGAATATGATCGGAACTACTGCTAAGAAACACAAAGCGACACATTACAAGCTAAGGGGCAGAAGAGAAAAGTTTATTTTCTAAGTCATGTAGACATTATATACAAATTTTAGACTATCTCTCATGATTGGTTACGTGTTCCTTATTGTCGCACACAAACAAACTCTTTGTTCTAGTCACCCTATATGTGTCACCACAGTGCTGCCATCAGTGCATACTCTTGTGCTCGTAAAGTGGGAAGGGAAGAGCCATCAAGTCCAAGTGCAGGCTCCATGTCTGCATGAAATTTTTACAAGATAGCTGTTTAGTTGTTCTTCTCTAGGTTTGGCCTGGCTGCCGGCTCGATTCTTCTCACCGCACTCCACGCCTCCTTCAGACTGTTTTGGCTTCAGATTGTGTTCTGTCCTCTCCTGGTAGGTGTTCTTCACATCCTCCATTCTCCTCTTTAGCTCCCTCTGGACAGACTTAACCACCTGCCGGTTCCCAAAAACCCTGAGAGCTCTCTTCTTTCTATTTAGAGGGGATTTGATGGCTTTGTATTCTAGAGTTTGTCCTTTGGAAAACAGCTTTTTTTTTTGTGAGAATCATAAGTGTCCACACAGACGCTGAAGTAATCCGTAATGCCGTGGGAGAATCCTCTGATGTCCCACAGAGCAGGTTAAAGTCTGTGCATTCATTAAAAGTCCAGTAGACCGTAATACACTCCTGAGACCAAACACTCACAGTCCTGATGGCAACAAGGTTTCTGCTCGACAGCAAAGAAGCATCAATCCATAGTTTGTTTTGTCGGTGGAGGAGAAGGCGATGGATCCAAGTTCTGCTTTTGCATGAGCATAAATAAGATGAAGTGCCCTTGTTGACAGTTCATCAAATAAGTAAGTGGCCATTTGGGGCCAGTTCAACAATCTGTAACCACAACATTGACACATTATCAACTTATGAAGTTGTTAAGGGGAAAGTGTTCGCAATCACTGGTGTATTTACACACCCAGCAGACACTGAGAAAGCATTTATTTGAAGCCGTATTTCTGGCTTCATGAAAATGACCAGATCCAATATCGTTGCTGCTTTGAGCTTTGGTTTGGTCTTCTTCTACTCCTGAGGGAAATATCTGACTCATTAGCTGCTAAATGATCCAACATGTTCACTGGCTAGTCATTCGTTTTGTCTGCTTTCTTCTGCTTGAACAAGGTTGATGAGAGTGATCAGGGTGACGCTAAAGTGATGCTAAACGGCTTCGTGGAGCTGAGGAGAAGTCAGTGATGAACCAAAGATGATTATCACCAAAGAGGGACCCCTCTCACATAAACACAGTCATTGCATCCATTGATTCAATGTCACACTGTACTACAATATGACTTTTTATATGACATACTACAAGCACTTTTGTACCTACTACCTTCACACAATTTAAATGGGTTTTCCCATTTAGCAAAGCTAAAAGTGTCTTTCGCCATGTCATGTCCCGCCCCAGCATCAAAAGCGAGTGCATCATCTCAAGGAAGTAAAAATGCCATTGCTTGTGTCTTTGAAGTGTGCACTTGCTCTTTACATTGTTCAATGTTAGCTGAACTCACAGTAACTCAGTAGCTTGCATTTCGCATTGGACAAAGTGTGTGCAAAATGAAAGAAGGAGCGACATGGCCAGAGGGAGGAAAAAAAGCGAGTGAGAATTGACAAATATTCAAAGTGGCTGAAAAGGGTTAATCCATAAGTGTAACACATTTGATCTGTTTTCATAGGATCAATACTGTTTGTTTGTTATGATCACTGCATTATTTATATTAAAGCAACACATATCACATAGTAGATACGCAGTCAAGAGCTATAACATTCAGAAGAGTCTGGGCCCAGGCTGCCATGACCGGCTCCGTGCACCCTGAGCTTGCCTCCAGCCAACTTGATTATTTTTCCCCCCACAACAAATCAAATATCCCACGCTGCAGACCTCCCACTGATGGAGAACAGCTAAGTGTGACTCACTCACAGTGCTCCTGGGCTTGCTGGTCACTGTTTTTAGCCTTTACAGAGACACTAGTCTGTGAGCATAACAATAAACACCCAGCTCCTCTCTGCTATCCTCTCCGTTCAGCCAAGGGGACCACAGAGGGGCAAACGCACTGCTGATGCACAAGGAATAGCTAAAGAGTGCTGCGTGAGTGTGTCTGTGTTTGTGTGTGCGTGACAGTGCTGCAGTAGTTGTTTAGCTAATTTGCCAGCAATAATGCATCAGAGCCTCCGATTTGAGTTATTGTTTTTCTGCAGGCTTTCTCATCCATCTCTCCCCTCGTGCTCTCTCCCTTTTGTTTCTCTTGGTTTTTTTCCCACCAAGGCTACGAGACCTGCTCTGTTTCCTCTCGCACTTAATGCTGCTTCACCTGAATGATTTTCATTTGTATTGTTTTCAGTGAAATGCTTAATGCCAAATGACAGATACAATAAGGACCAGGTGGGCTAAAGCCAAATTTCCCTCTGAGACCAACTGTCCGCACGTTGAGTGCGTGCGTGCGGCTCTCTATTGGAAGAGTTTGTCTTCATGGCCTGCAGTGATTAGAGAACGTTGGTGTTGTTTGAGATGAAATACTGATCTCTGCAGTAGAGCTCAGAGCACAGGAGCGCTGGGATATTGACTGAATGTCTGACTGTTTACTTTGTCCAACAGGCTCATAGGACTGCTTGGACACACATGCAAACATACGTCGATATCGCGACATGTGTTAGCAGTATCTTTCAGGTGCCAGTAACACTCAACAACTACTCATTTGAAACCGTTTGCTGTTCGGCTTTTTCACTCTTTTTTTCCCAGCATCCCTGTCTTCCTCATTCAGTCTTTCTTCCTTTTGGTTCTGTCCATCTCTACATCCTCAGGCCTTCTTGCAAATAAAGAAAGAATAGCTGCTGTGTGTGTGTGTGTGTGTGTGTGTGTGTGTGTGTGTGTGTGTGTTGCTGTGTGTTCAGTTGTGTAACAGGGCTGTTTGTTCCATAATTCTTTTTTCTTTTCTTTTGATTGTGCAAGTGTAGGTTGAATGGTTGAATGGATTTGGTTCAAGGAGACTTGAGCTGTAGACTTTAGACATGACTTGACTGAAGACTCGACTATTAGGAATTGACTTCGCCTGAGACTTGAAATCAAAAATATTCAAGTCTTAAGAAAGACTTGACCTTGTAAAATACTGGAACATTTTAAACATGTTAGGTCTATTGAAAATAACATCTCATTGAAGTAAAAACATGATTTCCGTATCACATTTTCAAATACTGACCATTTTTGTGATTACGAACTCCTGAAAGCACTTGCACTGTTTGTAGAAAGACTGATGACTTGAGAACTGACCTGTGACTTGCTTTGGCACACTTGAAAAATAAAGACTGAGACTATGAGGGGGTTGTGAATGAACCTCCATCATCAAGTTTTAAGCCAACACAGATGTGAGTTCCATAAAGTACTCATGAAACTGTTGGGAAAGTAGCATGATAGAAAAAGCACAGACTATTGAATATCAATATTAATCAGTAATTGAATCACATCGGCAAGACAGAGATTAAAAGACTTGATTGAGACCTCAAATAGATTTAGACTTGACTTGTCCCAAAAGCTGTTGGGTAAGCGCCACATGTATACCAAACTATGTGTGTGGTATTGGGGAACTAGAGCTGTGGTGATTAGTGCAATGCTGCCTATCGAGCATGTATTTTTCCTTTGCCCGCGTCATAAAATACTGCCGGATTTTTATGTCTGTTCTGCACTGACAAAAGGTAATTCCCTGTCAGGAGAATGCTTTGAATATACTTTAAATGAAGGATCCTGTGTTTTTCGTAGGACTCACTTTTGATTCAAAAGACTTCGTGCTGCTCAGATGACAACCTCTGCGTGCCAAATGATCTCATAAAGAGGTTATGAAGCAGCAGAGCACCTTGACAGAAAACTCAACTTGTCAGAATAGTGGCTGTATAATATAAACATTCAGTCAATTTGCATCATACTATCGTGCATAATGTAGATAATCAGATTAATTAGCTGACATTATTATTTCATTATTTTCAGATCGAAATTATACATTTGGATTTGCAAATGTGCTGCAAGGGAATGAAATAACACATATTATCATGAGAACTATAGGTTTGATAGACTTACAGGGATGAACAAAATAAAAAATCATCGAATAGCACGTGATAAAGAATATCATAAAAACGTTTTAGCATAGTATGCCATGAAAATGTCATCGTGTGGTAGGTCATAAAAAGTCGAAGTATAATAAAGATGGTATACCATAACAATATTTAAAAAAGTTATAGCATAGTATGCCATGGAAATATCATAGTAAAATATGTAATAAAAAGTGAAAGCATAACGTGAAATCAAAATGTAACAGCCTAAAAAAGTAATATTTAATATCATACAAAAGTTTCTAGGATAGTGAGCAATAATTCAGTATTTCATAAAGCAGTAATTGTATAGCGTGTGAAGTCATAGTATAGTATATCAATATATCTTTGTGGAGTTGTGTCCAATATGTTGAATCAAGGTTTCTGGTCATGTTATTGAGTCTCACTGTTGTGGAGGAGCTTGTCATATTTTGGTGGCGGGTTGGACAAAATAACAGGAATACCTCAAAGTAGACCAGGAAGCTGTCATTGCTGGGCCATTGTAGGCCTACTCTTATTGTTTTGACTACAGTCTGAACAATTGAAGTCTTTCTTTACGTCTCTTTATAGACTAAACACACACATTCACAGACACAGAGAGAGGTCTACTTGACACTTAAGGATGTCAGAACAGTCATGTGAGAGGATAAAGACGGCTGTAAACGCTCTCTGTAGGAAATTGTATTTTTGCTGTGAGGCAGAGGCTCAGATTAGCCTTGGAAATAGGAACTCTTTCTCGTAGTCTCCCTCTCTCTGTCCATCATCGTCGCCAACTGTCAGACGTTGCTGTCATCCTCAGCCGTCCCTTCATCTGTCTCTCTAATGGGAATCCCCCCTGTTTTCTCCTCGCACTGCCCTTATTTCAACAATCCCTCGCTTTTTTTATCCCATTTATGAGTCCATCCCTCCTCCCCACTTTGACACACATAGAGCTTTGAGGTGTCCTGTTAATTGCATTATATAAATCATTTTTCTTATTATTATTTAACGAGTTTCACTTTACTGCAGTAACCAAGTGAAAATGCTGAGTCCAACCTAAATTTTCACTACTTTTTTTAAATCTTTTTCTTTCCTGATGCTGCTTAACTGTTCCTGTTTTGAGATGTTTAATGTGGCAGACTGTCAGTCTGTGCTGCTGCCTAATAATGTATTAAATCTCCCACCTTTGCCATTCTAACCACCCTCTGCCTCCTCTCGCCCCCCCTCTCACCATCTTCTCTCTTCTTGATAGTGATGTGAAAAGCGCGCCGAGGCTGAAGGCTCTGCTGGTTTCGGGGAGGCCCTCCATCTGCAAAGGTAACGACGTTCTCCTCCTTCCTCTTTGCCTCTGTCTGTTTTCCATTCTGCTCTCCGGGTTCCGCTTCTGAACGCCAAACCTTCGCTGCTAGAAGAGAAGACGTCAGCAGAATACAAAACATTGCTTTAACAGTCCGGACAGAAAATGGAAGGCAGCAAATATTAAGAATAAACTTTACACCTACAGTAAGCTTACAAGGCTTGCATGCAGTTATACAAGCGCGCGCGCACACACACACGCACACACGCACGCACGCACGCACGCACGCACGCACGCGCGCGCTGAACAGGATATTCATCATGTGATTTACCCGTTATTTCCTTTGGGAACACATTCCTGACACAAATACTGGAGTGTATTTGGTATTTTGTGTGTGTGTGAGAGAGGGTGCAGAAAATCCTATTTTCTTTTCCCTCTATGAAAAATTGTGAGCTGTCAAAGGTTTAAGGGTTACAGCCACCCAAGGACGGTAAGATTTGTACCAGAAAAACAGAAAAGCTCAATGTACACGCAGCTTAACGCTGTGTGTATCAAGTAAACAATGCTGTAGTTAATCACATTTAGCTTATCCAACATTACAGTACGATCTATATATTTTAGAGCATCTCGCATATTAAGGTCGGATTTTTCCGCTTTTTTTTTCCCAAATAAGAATGAAATCGGTGTTGCCGTATCACACGATGCAGTTGTGTTTCAGTATTGAGGTGTCTTCAAATCACTGACTCAATTCTCTCGAATCAGTATTGTAACAGTAACACATATTCACACCTAGAAGCTTCCCAGTACAGTCTGATCTGTGGTTCACTGAGCACTCTGGAGCAGTGGTTGAAGGCAGGTTAAGGGCCTCGCTCAAGGGCCTCTCACAAGGGGTCACAGGGCAGAGCTGTCGATGTCATTGAGGGCACTAAGTCTAAATCTTTGTCCTTTTTTTCAGGGAATATGGCAACCCTGAGGGTAGTTTTATTCTATGATTGAACAAACACTTGGTGGATATTTTATGCTGATTCCAGTATGTTGAGACTGTATATTTCAATTTGATTCCTTTTCTTGTAGACACCCAATAATTTATCCACCAGGATGTTATTTTGGGCAGTGCTGAGAAAGCTTTGAAACAGACTTAATGTTTCAAAGCTTTCATTCTGGACCTTCATGTTGGGAAGTATAATTAAAAATATATATATAATCTAATAGTTAACTGAATAAATAAGATGGGTGTGTTGGCGGGAACTGGACTCATCTGAAATTGTGGTTACAGCTCCAGTGGATGTTGTTTCAGTTCTCCTTTCTTAACCCTTTCCATGTTGGTGTTGCAGGGACGCATAAGCATGACAACATCTTGTACACAGTGGACTTAACTCTAACTGAGCTTAATTGATAGGTTTTGTTTAGATTTCAGATTCAGGGGATAACTTGTGCTATCTTTAAAGCTATGAACAATATATTCAGTTTCCCTCAGCTCTACAGATGTTTTTTTTTCATTTCTTTCACAGCTGGAATGGTACTGGTTTAGACTCTGTTAACATAGTTCCCAGCCACAGTAACAGCTCCAGGAGTTGGTAGAGACCAAAAACAGAGCTAAAATAAAGTATCCAGAGCTGAAGATTAGTATCTGCCAGGTAGCCACAAACACAACTCTAAATGAATGTTGTTGTTGCTCAGTATCTGTTGGATGTGTGACTAGACATCTGTTGGCTAAAAAGTTCCCCATATCAACTTAAAGCAAGAAATAACATATATTGTTTGTACAAATAAAAAGCTTAAGTCATAGGGGATAAAAGCCACTTAATGCTCTTCCTTGGTCTGGTATGACCAGCAGCTTATGGTGTCTAATGTTAGCAAACTTTAGACAGATGTGTAACTGCAGCCTGGTCTAACCAAACAGCGTTCTAACTCTATTTGCCAAACATTTTGTGAGTTATCGCGAAACATTTTTTGCAATTTCACGCCGCGGCAATAGACTCTTATAGAGCAACTGCTCCAGGAGTCAGGTGACGTATGAAGAGCGAGAAAGTCCTTCAAAAATATACTTTTTTTTTAATACATTCTGTTAATTTGTACGCACTAATAACTCCTTCGGGGGAAAAAATTAAATCATTTTCTAAATTTTACCTCTGAAAACTGCCAGGCTCCGATGTCTATCAGAGCAGTGCACAAATAGAGATTCTTAGAACAAATTAACAGCGGGGGAGTTGGCAGATACTATCTAACCTGTCTGCCACGATCAATAATCTCTTCAGCTGCACCTCGGACTCTGAATTGCAGTCACGGTCGCAGTGCGGGAAGTCGTCAGTCAAACCTGGAGTTATCACAGAGCCCCATCGACAACATTCATGTGCAGCGGAAAAATCACGGGGCTTCATCACCGAGGGAAAAGAAGCGATAAAGATGGAGAGAACATCATCATTATCTTCACTTGCATCGCTTATATTGCCACCGTGACCTTTATCAGTCATCGGTTTAATCACAATCAACATTAGTCCGACCTTCACAACTGTGTGTACATCGTTGTGGGTCCGTCTGTCCCTCAGTTATTCTCGTTGCCTCTCCGCCAAACAGCGTCTCTGATCTCATGTGGCCTCCACGCTCCCGTCTGTCAGCATTTACACACCAAATGATGTTTGACCAGGATTCAAGGCTTTTCCATTTCCACCCCCTAATGCATGTGAATGACCTGTTTGTCTGTCTGCGTATGTGCATGCGCCTGTGTGTGCGAGGGGCTGTGTGTGTGTGTGTAAGGGTGTACGTAATGAGGTGATTTTTATTCGTCCTCTCTGTCCTATTGCCCTGTCAAGACCACCGATTCAATTTATGTGTCGAGATAGGAGAAAGATTGTGTGTGTGTGTGTGTGTGTGTGTGTGTGTGTGTGTGTGTGTGTGTGTGTGTGTGTGTGAGACAGAGAAAGAGAGAGAGAATTTCCTGCCAAAGGATTCTCATCTTTGAGCCCAGAATCAGAGATGGATGCAGAGATGAATGCTATTTTTTGCCAGCCTGTGCTTACCTCTGTGTGTGTGTGTGTGTGTGTGGGAAAGAAGATGGAAATCTCAAATTTAGCAACTTGGCATAAGCGTGCATGTGTGAGAGAAAGAGAGGAGGAGGAGGAAGAAGGGGGCAGGAGAGAGGAAGAGAGGGGTTGTTGGGTGTGAATAGAAGAGTGTGTGGAGAATTGTATTTATATGGACTTGAATCGCATTCTTAACACTTCACTTTAACTCTCCTATTTAGCATTTTAAGCAGTATACACTCAGTTATCATTTTATTAGGTAGACCTAGCTGAAACCAATGCAGTCTAATACAACAGTCCTGCCTTGAACTCTCCCTTCAGGACGGTTCTAATGTTTAGTTTTTAAGACGTGTTGATGTATGTATGGTCATTTTGGAGGCCGCAGTTTGTGGCGCTGTTGCTTTGCATCTCATTATACAGAGAGGTGCTTATTCACAGTACCATCTTTGATGTAAATGGAGTGGACAAAGTCGCCTAAGTACTCGCATAACGTGGTACAAAAATGTAGCGCTCCATTCAGTAATTGTTTGATATCAAAATCCAGGCAGAAGTTAATTGGGGAAAATAATTTAGTGAAATATAAAAGGTGTTTCTAAGAGACAGAAAAAGGTGCAGACTCAAACTCAAGCTATTGCGCAGTAGTCATAATAGACGCCTTAATGACAACGTCCCTTAATGACTCGCATTGTGCTTTTGTGACACTTACCCAGCAGAAATGTCTGCTGTGCAGAGGAAGTCACAACAATGAGAACTTGAGATTCAATGAAGTTGAATCCTTGAAAACTTGACTTGGTAAAATCCTGGAACAATGAAAATAAACACAATAGCAAAAATCCGGGCTTGCATGATCACAGCTTGCAACATGTATTCATTTTGTTCTCGGTCATGTAGAAACACCATTAACACAGCTGTAAAAGCAGAGTATTCTGATGCTGTGTTGTTGTAATGGTCAACGTTTGTCTTTGACCGCGAGATACAAACTCATCGTGCAGTGACCCCTGTGGTCGAAAACTCCACAGTGTCCCTTTAATCCGTTCACAAGTTGAGTCCTGGGGCCTCAATAGAGTCTCCCACAGGGTAATTTGTACAAGCATGATTTTTACTCTAGCAAGACGAGGAGCAAACAGCTTTACACATCACCCCAGACGTGCATTAAAACACACGTCAAGAAATAAATTATACCCATCCCTGAGTGATCAATCACGAGGCTGTTATGACTCGCAGTATGTAACGTAATGGTGCGTAGTGGTACAATAGCTGCTGCGGGGCTGTTAGTGCATGCTGACTAAGCACGATTAAGTCTTATTTTGTGCCCTACGATGATGATTTAAGTTATTGCTCAGGGAAACTCTAATCGAGGTGTGTCAGTGCTCATTCATGGTGGAGGCTGTGAACTCTGCATTATGCTCATTCTTCTTTAAAATCTCTTATAAGAATTAAAAATGAAAATAAAAAACCTGTCCAGGAAGTAAATATAGTGCTCATTAAAAAATGTGAAAAAATCTATATAATATATATATATATAAAAATTATAAAAAATTTATTTTCAAACAACAGTTTTTTGAATTTGTTTTTATTTGTTTCAGTTGTCTCTCTTTGAGGGACTGGTGCAGAAACGGCTGTTTGCTCCATATTTTTCTCTTCACACTACCTGAGACATTTTGCAGACATCATTTTCTGCAAACTACAGTAAATAGCAGCAGAAAACACACCAATATTTGGGTGTGTTGGAACATAAAATTCAGGGGAAAATCAGACCGGTCAAACCGGTCTTCTTTTTAAAAAGGCAAGTTTTTAGGAACCTGGGAAAAATACTGCGTCTGCAGGTTTTTCCGTTTTGTGCCTCCCCAACTTTCCTGCTTTTGACCAAATATACTTTATCATAGTCCTTACGTTACAGATGACACAGAAGCCGAGCTAGAGATTGAGCATTTCCCTTTAATATAGCTCTCGTTGATTTGATAAAGTAGGAAAGCATTATTGTGCGCAGCCTGATG